CACACACACACACACACACACACATGCACACCAAAAAAAATCATTAGAACACACACAAAACGCTAAGGAGAAAAAAATCCATTTTTATCTTTGATGTTTATTTAATTTATCCATGACACGAGGATCTTCCAGGAGTGAACAGAATGGAAGCATAAGACTTCGACACGGACACACAATAAATGTATTAAATAAGGCAACTTCACGTAGGATATGACAGCGTTTGTTTATAACATGATATTATTTTACGAGTAAACCATGATCACACACACACACACACACACACACACACACACACACACACACACACACACACACACACACTGTTACATACAAACAGACAGACATACATACATACATACATACATACATGCATACATACATTACATACATACATACATACATACATACATACATACACAACATTAATTCTTTATACAAACATAAATAAAAAATAATACTATCATCCAACACTTGATTACTTTTAATTTTTTTCTTCATTATTGTAAACCTTTTATATTCATTTAGTTGAATTTCTTATTCCGTAATCGAAAATATAATTCATTTTGACTGTATGTAAATGAAGTGAAGAGTTTCAATCCCACTCATCAGTTAATTTATTCTGAATAAACTTTCTTCATTTTAGTGGTTTCATTCTAGTTTAATTGCTATTTTTATTTTCTGCCGTGATCACTTAGACGACACACGTACAATTTTAACTTTATATTCAAACAAATGGAAAAGTTTGAAGGCCATCCATTAACTAATTACTCCTATGATTTTTTTTTCCTTCTCTTGTAGATTCTTTTAACTATTTAAGTAAACACATTCTGTCTTCTGTTTGTTTATATTTTATTTGAAAGTAAACACAACTTGATCTTCATACCCCGTCCAGGGTCATATTACAGGTGATTTCTAGCTGAGTGTTCTGACCTTAGGTGACACCTGTACCTTGAAACCTGAACCCGGACACCTGTTCCTACACACATGCACCCTGAGACCTGTACCCTGACACCTGCACCGATACACCTATACCCAGGTCACTGTACCTAGTCACCTGTATCCACACCCATGGACCCAGAGCACCTGTACCCACACACCTGTACCAACACACCTGCACCCGAACACCTGTACCCAGATATCTGTACCTAGACTTCTGTACCCACACATCTGTACTTAGTCACCTGCACCCAGACACCTGTACCAGAACATCTATACCCATACATCTGTACCCAGACACCTGTACACAGACACCTACACACAGGCACCTTCAATCCCTAAATGCCACACAACATAAACGCAAGATTATTCTCTCCCCTTCGTCCTCCACATATCAAGAAGCGCTCAACACACTGACCCTCTCGGCTCTTTCTGACCATCACCACGACCTCATCTGCAAATTTGGTGAGAAGCTTCTGGACCATCCTTGACACCGGGTCCTACTACCACCCGACATCCCTCGTCCGAGAATTGCTGTTCGACACCACAACCGCATCCATCCCATACGAGCACGAACTGATCGCTATAAGAACAGCCAAGTCCCAACCATTGTAAAAATTATCAATAACTTGTAATCAATCAGTGTATTCACTCCCAGTCAATCTTACCTTTCACACTGTCACTATGTTGAAATGCCCTGTAGTTTGAGCTTCCCCCCACCTAATTATTATATATCATATTTGTGTCACTTATGTTACTTGTATATAATTTGTAAATCAAGAGACCCATTCCCAAATTATGTAATTGTATATTTTCAGCCTTCCGGCTGCCATGCTCTTTCAACAAACCGTTAAATATTATTATTATTATTATTATTGTTATTATTATTATTATTATTATTATTATTATTATTATTATTATTATTATTATTATTATTATTATTAGACACCTGTACCCAGCCTCTTGTACCAAGACTTTTTTGTATCCAGGGACCTGTACCCAAAAACCTGTATCCAGACAACGGTACCCAGACACCTGTACCCAGACACCTGCACACAGGCACTTGCATCCAGGCACCTATACCAAAATATCTGTACCCAGACACTTCTATCCAGACATCTGTATTCGGACACCGGTATCCAGACACCTGTACCCAAACAACTGTACTCAAACACCTGTACTCAAGCATCTGTACGCAGACATAGGTACCCAGACATCTGTACATTGACATCTCCACACTGATACCTGCACCCGGGCACTCGAATCCCAAAACCTGTACTCCGACACCTGTACCCATAAACCTGTACTCATGCACCTGTACTCAGACACCTGTACTCAGATATCTGTACTCAGATATCTGTACCCAAAAATCTCTACTTAGACACCTGTACTCAGACACCTTTACTCAGACACCTGCACCCTGACACCTGTACTCAGACACCTGCACTCAGACACCTGTACTCAGACACCTGCACTCAGACACCTGTACTCAGACACCTGCACTCAGACACCTGTACTTAGACACCTACACCCAGAGATCTGTACCTAGACACCAACAACCACACAAATACACCCACACACCTGCACCCACACACCTACACCCATACACCTACACCCACACACTTACACCCATACACCTACACCCACACACCTACACCCACACAGCCACACACTTACACCCGTACACCTACACCCACAAAACTACACCCACACACCTATACCTACACCCCTACACCCACACACCCTACAGTCCACCTACACCAATACCCACACAACTACACCCACACACCTACACCCACACACCTACACCCACACCCCTATACCCACACAACTACACGCACACAACTACACCCACATACACGCACCCACACACCTACACCCACATAACGGCACCCACACACCTACACCCACACAATTACACCCACACATCTACACCCATGCAACTACCCCCACACACCTACACCCACATACCTGCACCCACACACCTACACCCACATAACTACACCCACACACCTACACCCACATACCTACCACCACACACCTACACCCACACAACTACACTCACACACCTACACCTACGCAACTACACCCACACACCTACACCAGCTGATGCCACAATGACAGCGCAGTCCTAGATGGCTTATTGTAATCTGTCTGGCAGTAGGACAAAATCCCACCAATTTTAAAAATAATCAGTCTCCGGCAATTTAACTCATCACAGTGTAGCGGCTCAACAGAGTCCTAGAGTTGGTTGGATTTTGTGCAGTTATTTATCCTGGTAGTCGGACATAGTAGAGTATACTGGATTGTCCTTTTGGGGTTTATCTTTGAGATGATGATGAATTCTGCGTCACGTTCAGCATTCTGATATTGAGAATGTGGATGAATTAAACATTGATTATTTCCCTAACGGTCTTATTTCCTCGTGTGTTATATAAAGCGATTCCGTGTCTTACGTACCCAGCATGGTATACGACGAGGAAAAGTTTAGACATTACAAAACAATACTCCACGTCGCAATCAATTTAGGATTACGTGAACATTCAGTATCCGATACTACTTCACCTGATGATTAAACAACCTAACACTACTTGGGGGGCGAGGGGTAGGTTAGGTTAGGTTAGGTTAGGTTAGGGTGTTTAATCATAAGGTAAAATAAGCTGGGATGCTTAATCTTCATGTAATACCCAATTTCTAATTTCGTGTAGGATGTACGGAAGGTTTTATTCGCTTTTCAAGTTGGTTTACTTATGATAAAAGGAAGTTAATTATCATAACTTTCCAGCCGCATACAGGAATGTGTCCACTTTAGTTCAATGAGAGATCAAACAACATTCCTGATTTCAATTTTCGCATTTTTTCTCATCGATTAAGAATGGACATTACTGTGATCAGTATGTGTGGCGATTCCTGTTTGCCATCAGACGTGAAGTAGATGACATGAACGATTTGGCGGTAGATGGAGCTAATAGGAATCTGAAATTACAAAACATGAGAAAAAATCGAGCGCTTGATAATCTGGTATAATTAAACTGGCATGGAATGTACATCAGTTGGTTTCTAGTACGACAATAAGAGCCCTTCAGGACCTGCCTCCTGATGGGCTGTGCTTGTGTTCATTATATATGTAATGTATTTAAACCAAGCACCAGGTAGTATTTACAAATTATGTATTCCTTCAACGTAGAACATCACAAACACACACTCCACGTGTTTATTGATGCATTGGAGCAATAAACTTAAGTTGTTAGATATAGCTCCATTTAACAACCTATACTTAAACCTAAAAATACGGCTGTATAAGACTTTAAGAAAGTGACAATGACATTTTATCCTTCTTGTCCATTGAGAAATTATCTGATGAGATTTTTGTCTTCTTATATCATTTGGTGAACGAGTTGGACACTGTTCTTGTGGGAGACTCTGGATTCGAATTAGGCTTCGAACCCCCCCCCCTTCCCAAGTCGACCCTCTGTTCAAGTAACTCCAACAGGATAGGAGACAATGACTAAAGTGAACGTCATGGTGGTAATCCTCTCTCCGCCTGACTATGCTTCTTCTTGAATTTTGGTTCACCAAGATCGCTAAAATTCTGGTACCTTAAAGGCTGTAATGTACACAATGTGTGTGTGTGTGTCTGTGTGTGTGTGTGTGTGTGTGTGTGTGTGTGTGTGTGTGTGTGTGTGTGTGTTTGGCGACAGAAACATACAACTCTTAAGCAAACTTTCACAGATAATGTCCATCTTTATCTCTGCCATGGATCACGTTTCCCATTTCTGCCGTGTTGACCTTTTCGAAAAAAAACTCTCCCGTCACCTGCCATCTCCCCCTCACCTTCCGCCTGATCTTACCCTCCACCTTCCTTCACCTCCCACCTCCCCTCACCTACCACCTCCACTCACCTTCCACCTGATCTCACCTTCCACCTACCCTCACCTCCCACCTCCCCTCACCTACAACCTCCCATCACCTCCCACCTCCCCTCACCTACCACCTCCACTCACCTTCCACCTGATCTCACCTTCCACCTACCCTCACCTCCCACCTCCCCTCACCTGCACCCTCCCATCATCTGCCACTTCTCCTCACCTGCCTCACTACTCTCTGACCTTTAATCTTAGACAGCAGTGACTCCTGGCCTGCCCCAGGTCTGAGCTTGTGGCCTGTCTCAGTATTGATTGAAACGTGTTTTAACTTCGAGTTTTGACCTGTTCTGACGCTGGAGATTCACTTGCTGTAAGAGTGACCTTTGCCATGTTATATTATGACCTTCTGACCTGTGCTCACCACTCTTAGGTTTGTAATTTACTGCAGTGCTGTCAGACCTGTTATGTCCTGCTTGATTTCGGACTCACTTGCACTTACTTAATTTTTTATGAGTGCATTTTTTATCTTTTAACTTTTCTGTAATACACTTTATGGTTTTGACCTCATGTAACGCACTGTATTCACTGTATGGCCTTCGACATATCCTGTAACACACTGTACCTGTAGTGTCTTTAACCAGCCTTGTAACATACTGGACACTGTATATCCTTTAATCTAATTTTGTAACACTGTATGACGGCTGACCGCTCCCTTCACGCCTTAATTAACCTTTGGCCTCTTGCTGTGCAAGTTGACCCTCGACGACACAGCCTCAGAGCTCGATGGCTTCAGGGTCCTTGTAGGTGAGGCCAGCCCGGACGTTCCTCAGGAAGCGCATTACCGCCCACAGTGCCAGCACCTGCAACACCAAGCGCAGTGCTCAACTGTGACACATGTATATGTGTTTATATGACATAAATTAAAAATTTATATACTATTAGACGTAAACAAACCAAGATCCAACAAGATCCAACAAACTATGGTGCATCACTGTGTACAGTGTCTCGTGAAAATGATTCATACATAGTTTTACATTATAATTTAATGATGACTTATACCGATATTACACAGGAGTGAACACACACACACGCACACACACACACACACACGTTCACACGTGGCATACATTCCCTCGGTTTCACTGCTGTAACAGATGGCGTTCTACTGTGATACAAAGGCCACAGATATCTATATTGTTTTCGCCTGTCACCTTACACAGTCCCGCAACAATACGTACAGTACATACGTACTACCTCCCCTAAATATTATTCATTATTCATATATGTGCATATGAAATTACACGTATTATATGAACATATTGGCATATATGGTAAGGATTTATGTATATGGTAACGTCATTTAGCTATGAAACAAGGATATAAATACCGCATCTGCAGTATTCTTCAATTTACTATGTTAGTATATGAAGGTAGGATATTCCTGTTTGAAGCTATGGACATAACCTAGAATGACACATGGAAAACTAGGATATACGTATAGAAGGAAGAATATGAGGATATGAATCTAGGATATGATACCTACATGTATTTACGAACATGAGGTAGAATATGTTTAAATGGAAATCAAATATGTGTACGTATAATACCTGCGTTTGTATGTATGTATTTATTTGATATGTACAGTTGCAGACAACATTCCTTGGACACTTGGCAGTATCTGGCATGTAAGTGCTTGATCATCATTAGGTGAGAGAGATTGGAATTTTAACGTATTTTCTCAGATTTTTCCTTGTATGAAGGAGTGTTTTTTTTTCCAATTTGTGGTGCCGACATAATATTTGATGAAAAGCAGAGTTATATATATATATATACATATATATATATATATATATATATATATATATATATATATATATATATATATATATATATATATATATATATATATATATATATATATATATATATATATATATATATATATATATATATATATATATATATATATATATATATATATATATATATAAAATAAAGAAGTATGTCTATGTGTTTGTGTATCTGCAAGAGAATCTCGGAAACTACTTTACCGATCTGTAGTGATGATGGATGTTATATGTAGTGATGATGATGGATGGTGATATATGTAGTGATGATGGATGATATTATATGTAGTGATGATGATGGATGTTGTTATATGTAGTAATGATGGGTGGTGTTATATGTAGTGAGGATGGATGGTGTTATATGTAGTGATGATGGATGGCATTATATGTAGTGATGATGGATGATGTTATATGTAGTGATGATGGGTGTTGTTATATGTAGTGATGATCTATATCTATATAAAACAAAGAAGTCTGTCTCTTTGTCTGTGTGTCCGCACGAGAATCTCGGAAACTACTTTACCGATCTGTAGTGATGATGGATGGTGTTATATGTAGTGATGATGGATGGTGTTATATGTAGTGATGATGGATGGTGTTATATGTAGTGATGATGGATGGTGTTATATGTAGTGATGATGGATGGTGTTATATGTAGTGATGATGAATGTTGTTATATGTAGTGATGATGGGTGGTGTTATATTTAGTGATGATGGATGGTGTTATATGTAGTGATGATGAGTGGTGTTATATGTAGTGATGATGGGTGGTGTTATATGTAGTGATGAATAGTCAATAAAATAATAACAGTTTAATGCTAAAAAAATATACTTTGCTGTACCGTTGTAGTGGAACTTACATACACCGTTAATGAACTATTGATGGAAGAAGAAGTTTTGGGGACTCAACAGTAGGTGCAAACAAGAAGTTGCTCAGAGAGACAGACTACTCAGTTAAAGTTCTAGTGAATTTTCTTGAAGAAAAAGAGCCTCACCTGGTGCCTGATCAAGCAAATGCTTATGAACAGATCTTCCAAGCGAGGTACGTCATCAGGGGAAAATTGCCCTTGCTGTGGCATCCTCAGGCATTGCTGCAACACTACTAGAAGGAGGTCGTACTGCACACTCAACTTTTTAACTGACTCTCAACCTCGCTCACAATGAGAATCCAGTGTGCAAAATCAAAAAAGGATCGGCAAAGGCAAAATTCTTAGAAAAATGCAGCCTCATAGTCTGGGATGAATGCACTATGTCTCACAAGTTAGTGTTTGAAGCATTGGACAGGACCTTGCAAGACATACGAGAAAATGACCAGCTCATGGGTGGCATTAGAATGGTCATTGCTGGAGACTTTCGCCAGACCCTACCTGTCATTCCTCGAAGCACTCCAGCTGATGAACTGAATGCGTGCCTCAAGGCATCATACCTTTGGAGAAGTGTTCAGACACTCACCCTATCCACAAACATGAGAGAACATCTACAAGGAGATCAGGATGCTGGACGGTTTGCAAACCTTCTACTACAGATTGGGAATGGAACTTTCCCTGTTGATTCAGAAGGACAAATAATCATTCCTCAAGGATGTGGAAATGTTGCACAGTCCTCAACTGAGCTCACTAACATGGTCTACTCAAACATTATCCACAACTACAAGGATCACAAGTGGTTGCGTGAACGTGCAATTCTTGCACCAAGGAATGAAACAGTGGCTGAAATCAACATGACTCAACTCAGACAGCTTCCAGGCAGTGAGACCTCATTCAAATATGTTGATACAGTAATCAACCAGGACCAAGCAGTCCGGTACCCTGCAGAATCCAGTAATTCTTTGGAGCCCGCTGGAATGAATCCTCACCACCCCACTCTCAAGATTGGAACTCCTATAATAATGTTCTTAAGAAATCTTGAACCACCAATCCTCTGCAATGGCACATGACTGGCGGTGAAGAACATGATGCCACATGTACTGGAAGCTACAATACTGACAGGAAAACCTAAAGGAGAGGACGTTTTTATACCAAGGATACCTCTCATCACCACTGACCTGCTATTTGAGTTCAAGCGACTTCACTTCCCGGTAAAGGTGAGCTTTGCCATGACCATCTACAAAAGCCAGGGACAGTCCCTAAAGATAGTTGGCCTAAACCTGGTGTTTCCTTCCTTGTCTCATGGACTGTTCTATGCTGGATGCTCCAGAGTGGGAACTGGCAAAAATCTGTACATACTTGCTGCTAATGGCAAAACTAAAAATGTGGTCTACCTTAATGCACTACAGTGAGACAATGTGGAGCCTCCCGGAGGGTGGCATCTTACCGTGGCCTAGCGAAAGAGCCACTCGGAGGGCGGCGATTCGGCTTGTTAAATGTAAACTAGATGTGAATTACACGAAAGCACTTGGGAACCTCGTGTTTTCTTCTTTCCTTGTGGTTATCAGCATATACCTAGATAACGCGCACCTACAGTGATTTACTTGCATATATGTATATATATATATATATATATATATATATATATATATATATATATATATATATATATATATATATATATATATATATATATATATATATATATTTATTTATATATATATATATGACACAGTAGTGGCGAGATATTGCCAAGTGGTCAGGGAATTCTGTCAGCAACTGTTCATTTATCTTCATAAGTAAGAAATCCTATGAAACAAAATTACTTTAAATCCATAAATATATAAATCCTTCATTGACTTTTATAAGTTTCTGTCGCCACTATTACAGTAATTACCATACGATACTTGCTATACATGTGTTTTATACCTACACTTGTATTTGCTCTTTTCCACACTATGAATCAATCTCCCATTTTTCATCTTCTACCAAATGTGAGAATTCAACCAGGGGAAAGAGAAGGCCAGGGGAGAGTAGGAATGTTTGGGTGAGTAATGCAAGACTCGTATACCTAGAGACAAGGAGATAGATGACTATATTAGCATTTAGGAAAATATTACACAGATCTTCATATCCTCAGCCTACATACTGAACACACAAAGTCTACATATTGATTACAACATTTCATATTTATTCGCTGTTAATACAAAGTTAACTCAAAATGGTCGACCATAATACAATATTGACTCCTCTACATAATCTGCCATCATTCTTCTGGTTTTGTCCTTCGTGAATCACATCTCTTCACCTCACTAACTACTCTATCTAGTTTATTAATCCCTTCCCTTTATTATTTTCAAGCATACTGACATGAATCATCCTTATTTTTATGTCACTCGCCGTACCTTCCATATTACACAACTACATCACAACAAGCTCATCTTTTTCCTTCCAACCCTTCAAAAGATTCCCCCCTCCCCCCGTACATATTCATCCTCTGATCTTCATACCTGACCCCCCAAATTCCCACAATATTTCCTCCAAACTATCCATCTCTACTGCTTTCAATCTCAGTCTAATAAGAGCAGACACAATCAGAATAGATCTCTAGGGCCACTTACACTCAACCTCTTCCCATTTACTCATATCTCCATGCCTCCACTTATTGTTCCTGCATACATTATACTCTGTTGTCATCTTGGGTGAATACCCCTCCCTGAGCCTGAGTCATGGGACGTACTTACACTGATACAAACTCGGGTTAGGAAGAATATCATTTCTGCTTTGCATATCCCATCGAATTTCTGAAATATGAGAAAATCGTCGTCACAGGGATTGTAGGACTAACTGAATCCCTAAATCCAATAATACTGATTATTGTAATAATAATAATAATAATAATAATAATAATAATAATAATAATAATAATAATAATAATAATAATAATAATAAATAATATTAAAAATAATAATAATAATAATAATAATAATAATAATAATAATAATAATAATAATAATAATAAATAATATTAAAAATAATAATAATAATAATAATAATAATAATAATAATAATAATAAAAATAATAATAATAATAATTAATCATTAAAAGATAACATGCATTTCAAAATTTTCCTTTTTATCAATTTCTCAGAGAGGGAAAATAAACACATTAGTTATGTTGTTTAGTGGAGTCGAGAAACAACACGAAAAACACTTAATAAATAAGAACTGAAACGAAGAGTAAGGAAGAAGGACGTTAACATATAAAACACTAACGAAGAAGTGACAAAGACAGATATAAAGGGAACGAGAGAGAGACAAATAGAAATACAGACAGAAAGACAAACAACCAAAAAGAGCAAGAAGATAGAGAACGAGAGAGATAAACCGACAAAGAAAGAAAAAATAAAGAAATGAAAAAAAAAGACAGAAAAACAGACAGACAGAAAGACAACAGGACCAAAGCGAATATATTCAAAGAAGAGAGAATGCACGAGAGAGTGTATGAAGGAATGTTATTTCAGGAAAACAATTAGTTGGGGAGAACGAGGAGAGAAGATGAAATGCAAAGTACAGGAAATTGGAGAAAGCAAGAGACATACAGACAGACAGACAGAGGGAGTGAATCGAATATATGGAATGGGAGAGTGGAAAGAATAGGTGGAGAGGAAGGAGACAGGCGAGGAGCAATCAGAGATAAGTATCTTGGCTGACGGAAATTAATATTCGTCGCGACTGCTTGATTGAGGTGCAGCGGGGAATAAGGAAGGCATGAGGAGGAGGCGGAGGAAGAGGAGAAAAGGGAGAGGAGGAAGGAGAGGAAGAAGATGAGGGGGAGGGGGAGGAGAAGGAGGAGGGAAGAAGATGGGGAGGGGGAGGGGGGGAGGAAGGGAGGAAGAAGAAGGAGAGAATGGCGGGAGAAGGAGTAGGAAGAAGAGAAGGAGGACGAAGAGAAGCAGAAGGGGGAATTAGAGGAAGAGGGGACGAGGAAAAAATGGAAGAAGGAGGAGGAAGAGGAGGAGGAGGAGTAGGAGGAGGAGGCGAAGGAGGAGGAGAAGGAGGGGGGAGATGGAGGAGGAAGAGGGGGGGAATGGGGCTAGAAGGATGAGGGAGAGGAGGAGGATGAGGAAAAGGGGAGGATAATGAGGAGGAAGAGGCGAAGGGGTGGAGGAAAGGAGAAGGAGGAAGAGGATGAGGCAAAGGGAAGAAGGAAGAACAGGAGGAGGAGAGGAGAAAGGAGGAAGAGAGAAAGGCAAGAGGAGGAGAACGAGGAGGTGGGAGAATTGGAAAGAGGAGAGAGGAGGACGTGGAGAAGGAGGAGAAAGAAGACAGGAGAGGAGGAAGAAGAAGAGGAGAGGAGGGATGAGAGGAAGAACAAGGGTGATGGGAGAAAAAAAGAAGAGGAAAAGGAGGATGAGAGGAAAGAGGAGAAGAACGAGGAATATAGGAGAAAGAAGAAGCGAAGAGAGTAGGGAGTGGATAAGGAGGATACAGAAGACGAAGAAGAGGATAAGGGTAATGAGAACGAGGTGCAGTCACAAGGAGGAAGAGAAGGGAAAAGAGGTGGAGGGGGAAGAAAAGCAGGACGAGGAAGAGGAATTGGAGGAGGAAGAAGAGAAGCAGAAGGATAGGGGGAGAGAAGGAGGAGGAGAAGAATATAATCAAGAATAGAGAGGGAATATATGAGTCTGGAGGAAGGAAAGTGAAAACGAGTCGAGCGTTTGTAGTTTCTGTTTGCTGATCGGTTGCTGTGATGATGAATACGGGAGGGTAGGGGAGGATAGGGGGAGGGGTGGAGAGAGGAGGGTAACAAGAAAGGAGAGAGAGGTTAGGAAGGAATGAGAGTGGAAGGTAGGAGGGTATGGATGAATAAAGTAGGAAAGGTAGGAGAAAAGCAGGGTAATAAACTGCAGAGAGACAGGGAATCTATTTAAGGATTTCACCAGTAACAGAGAAATGACGCTACTTGGTGGATGATGGAAAGTTAGCTAGTAGTAACAGTAGCTCAGAGTACCTTAGGGTCAACCAGCGATCCCCTAGGTAAACAGAGGGAGAGTCATGTTACCCAATAATGAAATAAATAGTGAAAGGTATGGAGAAAGGTATGGTTATAGCTGACAGGTGTTAATTGAGACCCCCGGGAGATATGAGCTGATGAGGACTCATTTGGTGTATGAAGACATGTATGAGTGATGACCCTGAGAGATTACTTTGTTGATATGGTCTCTGAGGACGTTGGAGTACATGCAGCACACCGCCTCCAGGGCCATGAAGGCTATGTTGGCCACCACCCACGGCGTCACCAGCCCACACCGCTCCTACAGGGGGAAGACACACTTCCTCTTAGTCTCCTGACGAGGATAACGGTATTACCTGATACTTGGTAAAACAGGATTAATGCTACAACTCACTGCCTCGTGTGGGTAAAAGACCGTCACTGCTACCAAACTACAAATTACTGTTCACCAGGTGTTACTTTCATAAGTGAGACATTTATAACTGGCAAGGACGAACATTCTCTCACGCCTTCTAACATAATATACCCCAGCATGGGCAGGCAATCAACAACGCTTCCTGTAATGACATGCTAGGGAAACCTAAGGCAGGCAAACATTCTGGCGGGCGAATAATATTAGCATTTGTCAGTGGCTCTCTCTCTCTCTCTCTCTCTCTCTCACACACACACACACACACTCATATCCCCCATTCTCTCTCTCACCTTTTGTATGCCGACGACGAGGAAAGAGCTGAGAGCGATGAGAGTGACGTGTGTACCCAGGGTGGAGATATAAGAAATCTGTACACCTGTGGACAGGGAGGAGAAACCAAAAGTGAGGAGAAACAGGTGTTATAATCTCATGCCAGCAACGAACCCTCATAAGCACTTCATGACGTTATTAACGTCGATCATAGCGAGTCATATCTAAAATTAGAAACGTTTTGCAAGATTGACAACAAGATAAGATAGAGGTATTGAAAAAATATCTGAATTATATAAAAGAAGATAAGATTAGTTTTATGTATGGCAAGATAAGAGATGTGCCAGATCATAAAGAAAATTAGATCGGAGATAATAATTTGAGGTCAAAGTTTAGGAGTGGTCCCCGTTATAGGTCACAGGTCACACAACATATGTCACATATCACACAACATATAAGGTCACAGGTCGCGCAACATATGTCACATATCACACAACATATAAGGTAACCGGTCACACAACATATGTTACATATCACACAACATATGTCACATGTCGCACATCATGTCACAGGTCACAGCATATAATGTCACATGTCACACGCCATATAGGGTCACAGGTCACATAACATAAGGGGTCATAGTTCACATAACATGTCACATATCATACAACATATAAGGTCACAGGTAACACTACATATAGGACCACAGGTCACACAGCATATAATGTCACATGTCACACATCATATGTTACAGGTCAAACAACATATGTTACAGGTCACACAGCATACAATGTCACAGGTCACACATCATATGTTACAGGTCACACGTCCCAGGTTACAGAGTATATACTGTCATAGGTCACATTACATATAAGAAGGTCGCAGCCACACACCATATAATGTCACAGGTCACACAGCATATAATGTCGCAGGTCACATAGCATATAATGTCCCAGGTCATAGAACATAAAAGAAGGTCACAAGTCACAAAGCCTAATGTCACAGGTTACACAAATTATAAGAAGGTCGCAGGTCACACAGTATATAGGTCACAGCTCACACAAATTATAAGGTCACAGGTCACACAGCATATAATGTCACAGGTCATATACATAAGGTCACAAGTCACACAGCATATAATGTGACAGGTCACAAACATTTTCAGTCACTGTCATGCCATGATTGTGGACCAGCTGGCTAAGGACTCGTTAGCTGGTTCAAGCAGCAGTTACTAACGTCAATCAACGTCACAGCGCGTCATAAAGGGACTGGCCAATGAGACGGGACAACGAGGTGGTGTGACGGAGGTGAGCTCTCAGCCGCGAACCATCACCCCGGCAGTCGGACTCAAGGATGACCCGGTCAACACTTTCTGCGGTGAGCAGTGTGTTTGCTGTGGGACTCCTGCCGTGAGCTGTGTGTGCTGTGGAAGTCCTGCCATGAGCTGTGTGTGTGTGTGTGTGCTGCTGGAGTCCTGCCGTGAGCTGTGTGCGTGCTGTGGGAGTCCTGCCGTGAGCTGTGTGTGTGCTGTGGGAGTCCTGCCGTGAGCTGTGTGTGCTGTGGGAGTCCGTCCCATGAGCTGTGTGTGCTGTGGGAGTCCGTCCCATGAGCTGTGTGTGCTGTGGGAGTCCGTCCCATGAGCTGTGTGTGCTGTGGGAGTCCTGCCGTGAGCTGTGTGTGTGGGACTCCAGTGTGGCCGTGTGGCATGGAAGTGCTGCAATGTGCCATACCAGTGTTGTGTATTTTGATTATTAAATAGTTATATCCACCCTTACACGTTGTTAATGCCAACCCTATTATTCTATTGGAAATAGCATAGCAATTGGTGCCCGAACAGGTGACAACGTTTGGGTGGACTGATTGGTGGCCGTAGACAAATTCTCACGAAACAGTTTGGGTTCGGTTGCGGCTGTGGTAAGGCAGGAAAAATATCTACCTCATAATTATTTGAGGAAGCAAAGCTAATCGGGCAAAGTGAACCTACTGAAATTAGGAATTATGTGTTGACTTAGCAAGCCGAAGAACGTGAGGAAAGAGCCAAGGAAAGTGAAGAGCGAGCCAAAGAACGGGAAGAGCAAGAAAAGCTACGCCTTCACGAGCTTGAAGTTTGGGGAATTGGAATTGAGGAAGCTGAGAAAGCCAGGAAACACAAACTGGAGATCACAACAGTTAAACTGGATTCCCCCACCCAGACGCCTGCCGTATCCTCGTTGCCTCGTGTAAAACTACCAATGTTCAACGAGTAACAAACTATATAACCATACATACAATGGTTTGAGAATCTAGCAGAGCTCTACAGTTTCAGCTAGTCTATGAAATGTCTCCACTACATGAACCTGTTCAAGGGAAAGCCACTGGAAGTCCTGCATCGTATCAGCAGTAATTGAATTGAAACAGAATTGAATTGAAACCGTTTATTTAGCCAGAAAAATACAGATACAGAGTGGATAATAATAACAATATTAATATGGCTGAGCCAGTTGAGAACCTGAGCTCTCTTTGAGGCACCTGATATAACGTGATGAAGTCAGCTCTTCTTAAGGCTTATGGATTAAATGTATACCAAGCAAGATCCCAGTTTCTTGGTGATACGAAGCAGGACAAGGAGACCGCTACTGCTTATTCAAACCAGTGGATCAGCATGAACAAAACACCAGATACCAAAGAGGGAATGAAGGATTTAATGTTACGCATTCAATTTGAAAATTCTTGCCCACCCGAGCTCATCTCCCAGTTCAAGAGTCACAAGCCTTAGTCAGAAGGCTGAAAAAGCAGACGCTCACTTCTCTGCATATGGCTACTAACCAAGGAAAGAGTGGATAGGTAAGAAACCATTAGCACCTCCCCAGTACAAAGATCAGTCACAGCAAGGAAACCAGCATCATTATCGCCAACAACATCCGTCATATCAGACTTACAAGAGGGACCAGACTAAATGGCGTTCAGGATTTAATCACAGTGATATTCGACAACAGAAAACCGCCGCCGCTGCGTTCCACCACAACGACGATCCTGAACCCCTTCAGAAGTTACATCCTTTACCTCAGGATGACTCGGAACAGAGGCATCACAAGTTTTGACTAGCAGCCGCCACCACACACTCTCGTCACTGGCACGCCAACTTCCTTATCCAGCCTGGGTATGTAGGAAACCAAGCAGTCAGTGTTATGAGGGACAACGGATCCTCGGGCTACGTGATGAAGAAGACCTTGGAACTAAACCATCAGTTCACAGGTGGGCAGATTCACGTAAAGATGATTGACGGATCTATCACAACTGTGTCTGAAGCAAGAATGCACGTGGAATCCCCGTTCTTCACTGGTTGGATTGTAGCAGTTATGTCCGAGCCTATTTCTGAAGTGATAATTGGGAACAATGAAGGGGTTAGGAGTAGCTGCTTCATGGATGCGACCATCCAGGCTTCTGTTGCCGCCGTGACCCGACAGGTGGCTAAAAAGACAACCACATTCCATTCCACTGGTCGTTATGGCACCTTTCGACCTCATGGACAATCAAGACGTACTGAGAGAACAAGAGACAGACCCCACGCTCAATACGGTTCGAAGGAACTTACTGGCAGGGACAATCAGAAATTCTATTGGCAACCGAACTAAATTTGTCAGGAAAAGGAACCGTTTGTATCGTGAGTTTGTGACATCACACCAGGAGGAACGCCTACAATTTGTGGTTCCCGCTAAGTACCTTAAGGGAGTGTTTAAGATGGGTCACTGTGTTGCTCTCGGTGGTCATATGGGGTACAAAAAACTCTTGATCGCATACAGGCGGTATTTTTCTGGCCTGGCATGGGGAAGGAGATAGAGAGAGACTGGTGCGCTCGTGCGATATCTTCCAGAAAACCAGTATTCGTGGACGAGTGAGACCTAGTCCGTTACAGCCTCTGCCAGTAATTTATGAGCCTTTTGAGAGGGTTGCCGTTGACCTTGTGGGGCCCATCAACCCTAGGGCAAGTGACGGGTCAAAGTATATCCTCACACTCATTGACTTCAGCACGAGGTGGGCCGAAGCCGTATAGCTGAAGAATATCGAGGCTGTAACCGTTGCCGAAGCAATGTTGGAAATATTCTGCAGAACTGGCATTCCCAATCAAGTGATAAGCGACATAGGTAGTCAGTTTACCTCCACCATGATGGAGGAAGTAATCCGTCTGTTGTCGGTAAAAGGACTACGCACATCACCCTACCACCCGAGTTGCAACGGACTAGGCGAGCGATTCAATGGGACGCAAAAGAAAATGCTGAGGAAGATGGCAGCTGAGCAACCAAAGGAATGTCCTCGCTACGTTGCTCCCTTGCTTTTTGCGTATCGCGAGGTTCTGCAGAGTTCCCTTAAGTTTTCCCCATTCGAATTGCTGTTTGGGAGAACTGTTCGAGGACCCTTGCATATATTGCGTGAATTGTGGGATGACAAGCAGCGTGACCCAGAAGTAAACACCACTTACGCCTTATGTCATTGACCTCGCCCAGCATACTCAGAAGAGCTACTACGATAGGAAAAAAAAAGCTTCGTTAGTTCAAGGTTGGGGACAAGTGCCTGGTCTTACTCCCCACTGTGCACAACAATCTTCTGGCGCAGTGGAAGGGCCCTTACGACATTATCCAACGTGTGTCTGACTACAATTATATTATCCAAGTAGGAAATCATCGGAAAAGATTTCACATAAATATGGTAAAAAGATACTACTGGAAATGTATTCCAGAATATTACCAGCAGGATTATCCATCCTTAGGAATACCTGGACTCCGTGAATGGTTTCCTGAACAACAGCAGTACCTAGAAACAGTGAGGGGTCACTACTGCCCGGATAACTCCATCATTTGTGCAGCCGCCGCGGTCCCTACCAGTGGCGACGAACACGAACCTATTACTGTACAAGCCCAGCAGGTGGAGACAGTTGATAATATAACCCTGGGGACAAATCTTTCTGACCGGGAGAAAAAAAAATTATGACCCTTCGACGCAGAGTTTCCGATATTTTTTCGGACAAGCCTAAAGTTGGCTTGGTTGATAATTATAACATACAATTAATTAGTTCAGAGACTGGTGGAGCCGGTCAAGCAGGAAATTGGACAGATGGAAGCAGGAGGC